ATATTTGTAAAAAAAAACAGTGATTAAAAAAAAAAATTCTGAATGTGGAAATAAAGAAAAAGAAACCAAGACGGAAGAGTAAACAATAATTATAGAAAACAATGGAATGGAAATATAGTATTACAGTTCGGTAAGTGAACAATTTTATTTTTTATTTTTATTTTTGGTGGTTTTTTTTTTTTTATAGAAAATAATGCGAAGTCACACTTGTAATATAAATTACAAAATTGCTTGACACGAGGGAATTCAATCTATTACTTCCAACCAAATATGATTGAATTGGTTTAGTAATGTTGTAGAATAATAACATTTTTAACATATTTTTTCGTGTTTTTTTAAATAAAAATTCTTACAATTTTTTAACTCTTAGGGATTTTTAGTATAAAAGCCTTAAAAAATTTAAATATATAAAAGTAAAAAAAAATTCCAGTAAAAAAAAATGCTAAAATTCTCTTTGTATTTTTAGTTTTAGTTTCAGTTAAGACTAAAAAGCACATAGAAATAAAAAATAAATAAACAATAATTTGATGCAAAGTAAAAGATGAAAAGAAAAAAACTAGTAGAAATTTAATTTTACTTTTTTTTTTAATTTTTAGTTGTATTTAGAGTAAAAATTTGAAAGATTTTGATAAAAACTAAAAAATAACTTAAGACAGAATAAAAAATTAAATAATTCACTCCTAAACAATCTCCTAAGTCCATTAGGGCCAGGCTCCTATTGGGACTAGGATTGTATTGGCTATAAAAGAGAGGCACCCCCATGGGTCTAAGGTATGCTTTTAATACTCAAGCTTGTGAGTTTAGCACTTGATTTATCTTTGAGAGATATACTAACTTGATCGTCGGAGTGTCCCCGGGTGGATGAACCACCGCCGGAATCTTCTCTTTCTATTGCAGGTCAGCCAGGTGCCATCTATTCTGCCGGTGCTCTCCAGCTGGTTACTAAGCGGACAGTGTGATTAAAAAACCACTCACACAGGATTTATATAGGAGGAAGAGGATGAGTCTGGTAATTTTTAGAGAAGAGTTCTCCGTAACTTTCTACAACCTTCCACAACTAGTCTCTCTTCTGATTTATGTAATCAATTGCAAAAACATAAGGCCCATCTTATCTCTATTAAATTAAACGGTTTTGGTTGGTAGCTCGAAATTTAGGGGCCCGAATGCCCCTAAATTTCCATATAAGGCAACAAAAAAAAAACAAGGCAAAAAAAAAAAGAAAAAAAAAAAAAAACTTATCCAGAAAAGGAAATTAGGGCCATTAGAGCGACTGTTTTTAGGGCCACAATTCATTTTCCTAAATTAAATAGTTTGTTCAGTATTGTCGTAGTTGGTTCAATAATGATCTGTTTGACAAGTGGATATTTGATTTTTTTGAGTTAAAATTTTTAAAAAATAGAATAAATTAAAATTGTTAGTAAAATAAAGTGTGGTATCAAATTTATAATTATTTTATTTTTATTTTACAAACATCACTTTCAATTATAAAATAATTTAATCATCATTTTAAATATAAAAATTTTAAATTATTAAAATAATTAAAAATTAAAATAACTTACTAAAATAATAATTTCTCAAATAAGACGAATTGCAAATTGCAATTAGCGATTCAATGGTTAAAGAGGATTAAATCAATTCGATTTTTTGATAAAAATTTTATCCCGTCTACTAAAATATATTGAATCGTATATTTCTATTCATGGAATTTGTTGTTCTACTATGAGGTGGATTTATATATATATATATATATATTTGTTTATGTAACCAATTTGGGGTTCATTTGGGATATGAGTTAATTTTTTAAATTTTGGATTTTTTAACTATTTTAGTCTGAGACTAAAAAGTTTCGTTTGGGATAGGTTTTTTGATTTTTGTGAAAGAAAAAATAAAATAATTATGATTTGAATGTGTCATTTTGTCTTATTAGACTAAAATTTTTTATTTTTTATTTTTTTTTCCTTTTTGTGAATATTTTAGCCAAAACACCCCATTTAGCTTATGCTAAACGAGGGCATGATATATTCATGGAATCAGAATAATTAGTTCGATTCGGTTTTGGACTAAACAAAATTAGCAACATTTTTTGATAATGACCTTATTTGGAAAGCTGATTATTTTAGTATGCTATTTTAGGTTTTTTTTTTTTTACTATTTTAGTAAGTTAAATTTTTTGTATTTGAAAAAATAATTAATTTTTTTTTTGGGGGTATGTTTTAACCTAAAAAGCCAATTAATAACCCTCCCCAAACAAGCCCATAAAATTTTGATTTTGGGCTGGCATCAATAACGTTGGCCTAATCAAAACTTGAGATCCTACTAATAGGCTTAAAGCCTTAAACTAGGAGGTTCAAGAACATAATCAAATCTTAAACTAGGAGGTTCAAAAAATTCCTACCTCATCTGCTAAGCATGCTCTCTCTATATATACTTTGCCCCTTTGCTTTCATTGCATCATTGAAAATTGTTCAGAGCTTCGATAAACCTCTCAGATTCATCATTTGCTAACTTCTTAGATAATCAGCCGATTTAGAAAATGACGATGATTCCAAGGATCTTCGGTGGCCGAAGAAGCAATTTCTTCGATCCATTCTCTCTCGACATTTGGGATCCCTTCGAGGGCTCCCCCTTCAACAGCGCTCTCGCCAACGCCCCAACTTCGCCGCTCAAGAAACCTCTGCAATTGCAAACGCTCGAATCGATTGGAAGGAGACTCCAGAGGCTCATATCTTCAAGGTTGATCTTCCGAGGCTGAAAAAGGAAGAAGTGAAGGTGGAAGTTGAAGAAGGACGAGTTTTGCAAATCAACGGGGAGAGAAGCAAAGAGCATGAGGAGAAGAATGACAAATGGCACTGTATCGAGCGTAGCAGCGGCAAGTTCCTCCGCCACTTCAGGTTGCCGGAAAATGTGAAGGCCGATCGGGTCAAGGCTACGATGGAGAACAGTGTTCTGACTGTGACTGTGCCCAAAGAAGAAGTGAAAAAGCCTGAGGTTAAGTCCATTGAGATCTCTGGCTCTGCTTGAATTGCACTACTGAGTTTTGGAGTGCTAGTGTTTGGGTGCTTGAATTATATATGTACGGGAAGCAAATATTCAGGCAAGCCTGTACTCATTTCTTCCAAGCTCCTGTTTGTCCGATCGACCTGCGAGCACAACGGCGGTGAGCTACCCGGCGGTATGTGGCCAGAAAACCCATCTGACGATCAAGTTAGCACACACACAGGGATAGAGAGAGATGAGAGAGTTGAGTATAAGTGTATATCTCACCCAATGTTCATTTGTCTCAGCGTGGGGGGCACAGACTCGCTTATATACCTCTGCGCCCCAAATCTACTCCCATTAGTCTCTCGACACGTGGTGCTACTATTCCATCTGTCAGCACAAATCTAGCTGAACATCACCTAACTGCCAGCCCACACCACTGGGAGCTTGGTAGCTGGGCTGCAGCATCTCGGCTGTCAACGGCCGTGCTGCGCAGCTAGCTAGAGCGCTCCGCTCGCCAAGCTCAATGACGACCGAGCTCGGTTGCATTCCGGCTTAGTCGAGCTCAGGACAAGTCATGCTGGTTGGCCGTCGGCCTTCTTGCCGAGCTAACGCATGAACCGTGGAACCCAGTGAGGCAGCAGACATCTCGGCCGAACCTCACTTGACCGCAAGTACGACATCAATTATGCAACTATGCCATTACCGAGCAAGTAGCTCGGTTTCACAGCAACTGTGCTATTACCGAGCGAAAATCCTTTTTGGATGGGCCAAGGCTGCCACGGCCCAATTGTGTTTGGCCCACGATTTGTCCGGCCCTTACCACGGCCCAATCCAAATCATAAATCTCCCTCTCAATATAGTAAGTAAATGTTTGTTGTTTTGTTTGTAGTAGAGAGGACGTGTTATGCAATGGCTACTTGAGAGCTTGTTTGTGTATAGTGTTGAACTAGTACCTGGTTATTTACTATGTTTTGTTTGATATAAAAAATAAAAATGGAAGAAATATTGTTCTAATGATTTGATTGTTGATCTTGTTCTACAAATTTCAATTTATATTTCTGATTGCTCTATTTCATTTCAATTACATTAAACATGTCCATCTCAATTGCTTTAAAGTAGATGATCATTTTGCTCTAATGTCTTAAATTGATGTGATTTAAAACTCGTTTGAGAAGTAATTATTTTATAATTATTATTTTTTTTATAGAAAAAGTTTAGAAAAATAGAAAGTGTAATATGATTAGATGTATTGAATTTTTCGTTTTGGATTATTTTAGCCCGAAAAAAACTTCATTATGATTTGTAAAGTAAGAAGCCTTCCTGGGCTCCTAACCCACTTCTTCCTGTAACCTTACTGGAAAATTTACTTCACCCTTTTAATGTCTTTAATTTGTTTACAAGAAAAGCTTATCCATGTATTTCTGCAGGGAGAATAAATTTGTAAAATTTTCATGAGTAGAACTATAAATCTCTTTAGATGGGAAATTTAATTGTGCAAAACTCTTCATGGTATGAGTGTAATGAAAAACATAAATAAATAAATAAATTGGATCACATCATGAGATTAGTAAGAAAGTTTAGTATTTTTAAAATGAAAAATGAGAGAATAAAAATTTACTTTTTAAATTTATTTAGTGATATGTAAAATAATTGTCACATTGTTGTGTTTGAAAAATAAATTTAGTTTTTAGGTTAAAATAATAAAATTCTTTCCAGATTAATCTTTAGTTCCATTGCACAAAACAATTTGATGGCTGAATAGAAGTGAGCATTTTCCATCTACTCTTCCCACTTGAACAATCACAAATAAGCAAAAAACGAACGATTACTTAACAATGTAACAACAGATCAAAATACTAAATAATCATTGAGAATTGAGAAGGCACATATAAAGTGACTTGTTCGTCATCATTGTCACTGTCGGGAGATCCAGAGGAGGGACCAAGACATGAAAATTGGAACACTCTAGTTCCACTACAAGAATACTGGGATTTAACGGCGTTTAAAAAAATGCCTCCGTTTCTAACATTTAACGGCGTTTTTATAAACGTCGCATTTTTCATTTAATAATACGACACCGTTTTCATTTCACAAGTCGTTTTAAAAACGCCTTCGAATGTGTTTTTTTATATTTTATTTTTTTAATATATGAGAACATCAAGTAGCGTGTTCACTCTCTCTCGTCTCCCTCTTTCTGACTAAACCTTGATTTCACTCTCTCTCTCCCTCCCTCTCTCTCTCCCTTCTCTTCAAACCCCTTCGTATTTGTAGAACCGCAACTGAACCCCTTTGTATTTGCAGATCGATTCATGTATTCGTAGATCGATTAAAGTATTATTCACTCTCAGTCTTGCTCTCTCTCTCTCTCTAAACCGTTGATTTCACTCTCTCTCGCTTCAAACCCCTTTGTTTCAGAGACAACCCTTCATATTTGTAGAACCGTAGCTGAACCCCTTCGTATTTGCAGATCGATTCAAGTATTCATAGATCGATTCAAGCCTCTTCTCTAGCTCGTGTTCGCGTTCGCGTTCGCGTTCGCAGCTCTTCTTCATAGTAAGTGTTGATCAGTCTCATCTCTATCTTCTTACTGACGGAATCATTCGATTCAAGTATGCTAGGTTTCATCTACTTTATCATTCTTAGATCAGATTGAAGATCTATTGATTCGATTCAAGTATGGTAGGTTTCGATTGAAGATCTATATGTGTATTGTAGATGTTAAAATTGAACACAAAATACATACATATATATGAATAGATTGATATTTTTTTTTAAAAATAGATCTCAATAAGAAACTCTGTAACCTTTTATATATTCATATGGATTATATGTTGAATTATGTATCAAATGAGCACGGCCAAGTTCAAAAACTAGCTATGTTTGCTTAAAACAACGGATTGGAATTCACTGAAGTGAGGGTTTCACTTAATAGTTTATTAAATTTGATTATTTCAGCCCTTTGATGTTTTATTAGAGTGCTTGTCTTCAACTAATAGATTTGTTTGATGATGAGAAATTTGTAGCAAGTTGTGATGCTGCATCATAGCCCTTTTAAGACTTCATTCATGAAGAAAAATAGAAGATATTTTGAACCATTTGAGTGAGTTTCTTTTATCTTTTATGCATAATAAGTTGTTGGAAACTTCAGACTTTATCATCCTAATAATATGAAGGTGTAGACACCACATTAAACATGCATACCCTGTATATAAACAAGTTTTGTTCTGCCTGGTCATATATGCCGAGACTGGAAGCAGTGAAGACTCCAAGAATGTATATTCATCTAAGCTTCTCTATATGCATACCTTGTATTTTTTTATTTTTTTTAGACAAACATAAGAAATGAAATGTTTAGGACAAAAACTCTAGAACACCACGAGTTGATGTTTCCACTGTGGCCTTGTATATGTTTCAGAACCAGGGTATGTCTATCCTTATCATGTGAATTTAGATTGATGCTTGAATTCTATTCTTATTCAAATCTTGTTACATACTGCATTGGCTGTGCATATATTGGTTAAATTTCTGTGTTTAGTACAAGTCATTTGTGGCAACACGGGAGGCTGTTGTCACCATTTGATATCTAGAGCAGAGAGATCACCTTGAATTTTCTGTTACAATCTCTCATTGGAAATAGTTGTGTACTTACCAATTTCAGATATATGCTTTTTAGAGCTGGAGTTCCTCGGCATGCCATTATTAAAAAGTTTGGAGGTAAGGAAATATCACAACTTGAGGATCTGATTTCTGGCACTGGATTCTAATGGCTTTATTTCACTCTTGATTTTTGAATTTAAGGTATTTACCTTTTATTTCATTCTATTAGATTCAGAGTCTTTTCTGGAACCATTTCTTTACCTCCCTAGCAGTGTGTAGCTTTTTATACACCAGTTGTACATGGTTGTGCATCTGTTTTGATGTCTTTAAAGACAAACATTACTTTGATTATCTGGAAAATTAGATGCTCTAGGTTGTTATGCTTTATTTTGTACTTTTACTCGCTTACGATATTTCTTTAGCAGCCTGTTAGTTCCCTATTCTGGAGCCCCTTCTCACTTCAGCAACTTGTCCTTTATTTCACTTTGTCCCGATATGCATTTTGTTGCAGGTTTCATGAGTCTTATCTGAATTTAGAAACCCTTGCCTTGCTCTTCTCTAAGGCCAGTAAACATGAAGGAAGAAAATCTTGCTATTGCTAATGTTGGGGAGCCTACTGTTAGAATGACACGAGCTCGAGCTGCTGCTTGTCATGCATTTGGAGGGATTCCACCTTCAGAAGCACTGAAGCAGCAAGGTCAAAAGCAAGTTTTACGGACAAGTTCAAAAATAGCAGCTTTAGATGAGATGAATAGCAGTGCTTCTGCTGCTGCACCTGTTCAGCATAAGAGGAGGACAGTGCTTAAGGATGTCACAAATGTTTGCTGTGAAAATTCCTATAAAAACTGCCCCATTGCAGCTAAAATTCCGGTTTGTACACTACCCTTTTGCTGAATTTATATAATTAATGTAAGAAATTGTTGTAAATTGAAAGAAAATTAAATAAGAAAGTATGTTTGTTCCTCATTAACAGAGATAAAAAATGGCTTCTTTAATGCACAAAAAAAAAAATGAAATGTTGAATCGTTGATAGATATTTTGATTGCCCGAGCATATAAAAGCATTACCAAAAAATTGGGATAGTTGAGTTGAGCGGCATTTTTGAGTATAGAGAAGACTAAATTGGTTATTGAACTTCTGGTCATTGACAGCAATAACTAGAACAGAGTCAAAAGTTCATCGTGACCATGAACTTTCCCACTCAAATATCTGAATTTAATTGTTAGATTTACTGGATGGCTTGGACTTTCTGCTACAAATGTTATTAATTTTTCTTTACTAAAATCGTTACATGACCTCTGTTAAACTTGAAGGCCCAAGATTTGAGGATTTAACCTCAAGTTGCTTTTGTATGCTAACAAGTGTTACACTTTTCTGAATTTTTATCTTTATTATTGCTTTTATAACTTCAGATATTCGGTTAAAATGAAAATGTTACCTATTCATCTATTTTCTTCTATTACAAAGAGATATATTTCATCCCTTCTATTTAATTTTTTCTACTGCATTTATTTTACATGTATACTTGATGTAAAGCTAATGCAGCAGATTTGGATTGTGTAATGTATATTGGATTTGTCAGTGCTTACTTTAGCTTTGAACAATCGGTGCTTGTCACATTAGTCAGCTCCAAGCTTATTTTCGACTTGAATAGCAGCACGACTTGTACTCAGTCAGTCTGGATTTCTAATGTAAAAAAAATATAATTATGTTTTATTTAATTTCGGTTGGATACCAGTGTTTTTTTAGTTGTAGCTTATCTGCTGTTAAGATAACCTGCTCTGCTTATTGTTGTAAATATGTCTTAACTTGTTTTCTCTTGTTTTTTTGGTGACAGGCGAGAAATTTTCGTTTCCACTGTGGCCTTGTATATGTTTCAGAACCAGGGTATGTCTATCCTTATCATGTGAATTTAGATTGATGCTTGAATTCTATTCTTATTCAAATCTTGTTACATACTGCATTGGCTGTGCATATATTGGTTAAATTTCTGTGTTTAGTACAAGTCATTTGTGGCAACACGGGAGGCTGTTGTCACCATTTGATATCTAGAGCAGAGAGATCACCTTGAATTTTCTGTTACAATCTCTCATTGGAAATAGTTGTGTACTTACCAATTTCAGATATATGCTTTTTAGAGCTGGAGTTCCTTGGCATGCCATTATTAAAAAGTTTGGGGGTAAGGAAATATCACAACTTGAGGATCTGATTTCTGTACTTAGCAATTTTGTTGAAGTTCTTGCTGCTCAGCAAAGCCCAGAGAACTCCAATTGGTTCCAGGTAGTATACAATCTAAACTCTAAACCTTCCAGTCTTATACTATGCAGCAGCTTTTCATTTCTGTGAGATTCCATTTAAAGTTGACAATTTGTTTGTATACCATTAGTGCTGTCATTTTCTGTGCATTTGATAGATGAGTTATGCACAAAATTACCAAGTTCGGATCATCCTGATAATTAAAATTAAATCATTCCTGATTTATCTTGCAAGTGTCCTTAAGAATTGGACTAGTTCGACGAACACCATTTATGTTATTGCAAGTGTCAACTATTATGATTTGATGCAAATATTTGTCAATCTATTGAGTGATCAGTAGTTATTTATTTGGTTTAGACATGTATTTGGAATAGAGTAGTACTAGTAGAGTCAAAATCTGCTTTGTGGAACTAGAGATTGCAAATGGTTCTAGCTAATTTTTTGGAGTTAAGTTTGAGAATCTTTTGGTTCATCAACACAACTTGATGGTCTCTGAATAATGAATTTTCTGGATTCAAACATTAGGATTCAAATTGATTATTTACAAGCTCTGTCAAATCATATGGTTTGGACCATGAATTGGAAAACACGTGTCCATGTTCCCACATATTTTTCTACTAACAGATGTGTTTGATAATTGAGGAATACTAGTTTCTTTTTGGTTTTTAGATCCTTTCAGATTTTAGACTATTACAAAGAGGTTTCTAATTGTTGCTACCAACAGCTAATGAGTAAAGCTTAAGTTTGTTTTGTTTACTAGTCACTTGGTATCTAAGACCAGTGAAGATTACAGATTCTGATTTGTGAAGTCACAATTATTATAAACTTATTACTATCTGATAGATGCATAAAAATTGTGCTCATCACTTTTATGCAGGACATCTCATACAATTTAATGACCCTAGACACATACCCAATATAAATAAATAAATAAAATGGATCATGAGCCACTTGCATGAACCTTATTGAAAACCCGAGGTATGTCATGAAAAATAGCCACGGCATATCATATAGTTCTATTTCTTGATTCATACTCATGTCTGGAAAATAGTTTGTTTAGTACTAGTTGTTGCCTAGAGTGATTAGCCTCACAATCATTTCTTTAAATTCCATGATATATATTTAATTGGCTCTCCTCAATTACAGGATCTGTTATCTTCTTCTTGCTAGAATGTTACGATTAATTAGGCTCTTGATGCAAGTCCAGCAGTACCGTGCCTTTGTTGCCACGTTTTTTACCCTCATACCAAGTTTGATGCCATTTATGGGCATCATATTTTGCATTCTATGCATCTATTGCTCTCTTGGTTTACAGGTAAAACAAGTTCTATCTTCACCTGCTTCCATTTTGTTCTCTTGGCTTTTGTGTGTAGAGACAGTTTTTCATGTGGCCTTTGTCGTTCTAAATTTCTGCTTAGTTATGCTTAACATTTCTGACATCTTTCACTTTCAGAACAAAACATGGAACTCCTTATTCACCTAATTTGAATTCCAAGTCATGTCAAAAGCTTTCATGTGGTCTTCAATTTTATTTCTTTGTAGTTGACTGATTGTCTTTGTCTGCGGTATAAAATTTAACATAATTAGTCTTTCATGTGTCTTCTTTTGCTTGCAGATATTTGGTGGTCTAGTCAATGCTGGGAACCCCAAATTAGAAGGAACAGATCTTTCTGATAATGAGTATCCTATGCCATTAAGTTAAGAGTATTTTAATACACCTTATGGGACATGCGTTATTCAATCCATAGTTGTTTTTGATAGAATATTAATGATTTACCTACATTTACCAAAGACCTACATCTCCAAGAGCTGACATTGTTATTTTCCTGTTCATTGCACTTTCTAAGGTGTTGTCTATGAGTTAAATTTTAGTTTTGTGACTCAGTTTTCTTGACAAAGGAAGCTATCTACTTTTCAATTTCAAAGACTACCAAAATGGAATGGTGACACTTTTCAATTTACTAATAATGGGAAACTGGCAAGCCTGGATGCAGGTAACACTAATCTGTCACGATCATCTATATCTTCTCTTCATTCATACTGCTCTGTGCATGACTGAAGAATATGTCAACTTGTCTTTGCAGTTCACTTGTGATTTATGTTTACCTAGTTAACTAGTGAAAATTATGCCCTTTGTGGCTTGTTCTTATTTGTTCCATATCCTTTCTAGCAACCAAAGGTTTTGGTGCCTTGTTTATCTTGAGCTAACAATTAATCAGGATGGTGCACCTTGCAGAATATACAAAATTGTGTTTCCCACAGGACTAAATATGGTTGGAGATGCTCAATATGATTGACTTTGTACTTTTCTTTTGATAACAGAAAACAAAGTTTGGCTTGAGTTGCTTGCCTAATGGATTACTTGTGTCAATAGATATGTCTAGACCAACTACCTAGTCTAACGATGAAATAGAAAAGCAAAAATATTGCTGATACCGCAAATAAAACATGGTGGAAGCCAAGCTAATTCGGTGTTACACTGTTACTTTTCTATAAAAGATCAAATTAAATTCTCTGAAGCCTGCTTCTAATGCCTCTCTTTGACTAAAAATTGAGTAGACTCCTTTTGACAGCTTGACTTGGTTTGACTGTGTTGGGCTGGAAATCCTACCCATCTCATCATAAGAAAGGTGTGGTAAAAATGTTTTGTGCTCATCTCATCAGGTGGTTCTCTAGATGGATTTGAATGGAACTTCTTTATTCCGTGTTAACAATTATATTATAATTCATTTTCTGTAGCTCTGAATGAAGATGTTCAATTATTTGATACCTTTAACAAGTTATCATGATGTATCAGCAGATATCTTACAATATTCCAGATATGCCAACAAATGATATTACAAAAATCCAAAGCTCTCAGTTTTATTTGGATACCAGATTGGCCAAAAAATTGTTATGGATTCATTTGATGCTGTTTAATTCATGGGATGCCTAGTGGAATGCATGATATATTTTGATTTTGAGATGCGCAACTTTCACCACCTATGGCCTTTCTCTTCACAATATTGCCCACTGCAGTCTGTAAATTTGCTGCTTGAATATATGGAAAACATTGTTTTGTTCTGCTGGTATGTGCAGAGAGATCTGAGCAGTTGGACTGGGATACACGGCTAAATATCATCATGGGAGCTACAAAAGGGCTGGCATACTTGCACCATGATTGTTCCCCACGAATTATATATCGTGACATAAAGTCAAGTAACATTTTGCTTGATGGGAATTTTGAGGCTCGAGTATCTGACTTTGGATTAGCCAAATTATTAGAAGATGAGAAATCTCACATTACGACTATTGTAGCTGGAACATTTGGGTATCTGGCTCCAGGTAAGGCAATTTAAATTACAGCCGACACTCAAATGCTCAAAACTTTATTATTGAGATTGTTAGTGGGGAATACTACTCTTGATGTTGGTTTCACTAAGACTGATGTGGGGCAGTCTGATAGGTGGGTTTGAGGTTACCCTGCCTAATTATATAATAAAATTGGGAAAGCAAACTAGATGACATGAGGATAAAATAGGACTCAAATAAAACCAAAATTCAACCATACGAGGTCCTAACTGGATATCCTGACTTGATATCAATAAATTTTCAAATTTTGCTGCTTCTTTAAATTCACTTTTTTTTTAATGGTCTGCATCAAAGTTGTCAGGAAGATGCATTAGTTACGATTTTGAGAAAGAAAAGAATAATGTGGGTGCCTTCTGGGTTTAAGATATTGAACAATGTTACCCCATATGATAAAATCTGTTGTTTCAGTTTTTGACTTTCAATTGAACTTGAGAAGCAGCAGGCATGTGGAGCACTGGCCCAAGTTTTTTCTATTTTGTAACGCTGTAGTATAGCTACTGTGATTTTGGTATAAGCATTCAAAGTAGTCTATTCTGAATTGAGTGTATTACTTCACTGGCAGAATAAATGCAAAGCGGTAGAGCAACAGAAAAGACTGATGTTTATAGTTTTGGGGTTCTGGTTCTTGAAGTAGTGAGTGGAAAGCGACCCACTGATGCAGCATTTATTGAGAAGGGCTTCAACATTGTTGGCTGGGTACTTCTCTTCCCTACCCGTGTTTACACTGCTTTCATTCAAATATGTATGACATGATTGTGGAGCTCACAAGGCGAATTAAGCTTCTTATTTTCCTTGATTAATGATTTCATATGAATCTTCAGAAAATCAGAGGTTCCAGCCTACAGATCACCAATCTCTTGTTTTGAAGGAAAAAAAACAGTATTCCAGAGATGATGTTAATTTAATAGATAATAGTGAGTTCACTTGGTACAGTTTATAGCACCTTGACATGACTGACTTTAAATGTCAGCACAATCACCAAAGATCATCTTCAAAAGTATATATCGACACACACATCCAGAATGGTAGGTGGTGTCATAAAGTTATGAGCATCTTGTCTGTTCATAATTTATTGCTAGTTCTATTTAGTTGTTAACATGTTGGCTTCACCTTCATTCATCTATCAATTATTCAATGCCGTCAATTTACTTTCTTGAAGTCCTGAACATTGGGTGTTCTACCTGGAGCTACTATTCTAGGTAATTGTTGCTTCTGTAGCTGTGAAGCATGAGGACCTTGTTGAGCAAGTGAAGAAGTTGTTTACTAAATTGTCATCGGATCCAACCACAACTTCTGAATTAGTTGCCAAAGGGCCAGCAATTTTTTCAGGATTTTGTGTTAAAATCCTTTGGTTTTTATTTCTCTTATTTTTTTTCCCTCGATCTGACAGTGGGTGTTTTGGTTCACTTCTTATTTTTTGTATTAAATGGGGGAGTGGTGAGAGAAGAGAGAGGGTATGTTATTTTGTGGCTTTGTATATAAAGGTAGTAATTTTTTGATTGAAAATTGTGAATTCAATTTTTGGATATGTTATTTTGTGGGAAAATTAATGTTATATTAAATTGAATGTGGGTGAATTAATGCTATATTTGTTATTTGAATGGGAGTTATTATTTCATATATAGTGTTATTTAGTTTTATTATTGGTGTTCTTTTAGTTCAATCACATAAAATTAGCAACAATTTCAAAAAAACAAAAAAAAAAAAAAAAGAAAAAAGAAATATAAGACGGCTTTTTTAAAATGCCACTATAACGGTTAGAATTTTTAAAATTAAAAAAAACCTATGAAGGCGTTTTAAAAACGTCGCTAAAATCATAGTGACGTCACAGTATTGTTAGGGCAGGACATTTGGCGGCGTTTTTAAAAACGCCGCCTATACTAATACAGCGACGTTTTCAAAACGCCATAAAGTTATAGCGACGGCCGCGTCGTCGGCGTTTGGTACTAAACGTCACAAAAATAATTAGCGACGTTTTTGATACCTATAGCGGCGTTTTTTAAACGCCGCTAAAAGCCTACTTTGCAGCAGTGTTCCTTTGGATCGACTCCTCCGAACAATGAATGACGAGGTTGACGAGGATGATGATGATGAGTCGGCAGCACTGGACTTGCTACGGCTCGATCCTATCTTAGCCTCTGTTATGGATGAAGATGGAACACCACACACACATACAAAGAGAAAGAGAGAGAAGCTCTCAACAGCACTGGTTTGGGTGCAAAAAAGAAAGAGGATGTCTTGGAATGCATGCAGGGATGCTTCCAGATGTTTGATCTCAACTGTTGGATTGTGGTTAGGTAAACAGTGGCAATGGTGTCTTGGAAATGAAAAAGAGTCATTGGACAATGTCATTTATTTTGCAATGTATTTTTTAATTTTACAATATCATTTATTTGTCCATGTAATTTTTATTATTTCTTTTTAAATATAATTTTTATTTTGCAATGTAATGTAGTGGTTCATGTAATTTTAATGTAATTAATAATTTTTTTAATTTTTTTTTTGTAGTCATATGTTTTTTTGATGGGGTGAATTATATAATTTTTTTTTAATTTTTTCAATTTTTTTTTAAATTTTTTATATTTATCTAGTCAGGTACAATGTATATATATGTATATATATATATTTTTAGAAAAAGTTTGAAAAAGGTCACAAAAGACAAAAAATAAACAATAAAAAAATTATTAAAAAACTTATATCTAAACAATACCTACAAAATTGAAGGGAAGATTCGTTGAGAATTGCCAAAATAACATGTAAAAGCACCTCCAATGGTTTGCCATTGGAGCTGCTAAAGCTATATTATTGTAGCTTTGAGAAAAAAAAGTTCTCCAATAGTCACAAATATGCTGCTCTTAAAAATGGCAAATGCCACAGTTGTTGCCAAGTTTGACAACAACTTTGGCAAATAACAAATCTGCTAGCTCACCCAAAACTAATTGATTTTCTTCCTTCCCTCCCTCATTTTCTTATCGTTTTCTAGAAAAAAACTCAAACAAAAACATATCAATAATTTCATTTTTGCAAAATTCAGGAAATTTTTTTAAACAAAACTCACCAATTTGTTTAAACAGTGTTGGCAATTGACATTTGAAAAAAAAAAAAATCAACAATTTATTTTTAAACAGAATTTCAAGCAATCTCAACATATTCAATTTTTTTTTTAAAAAAAAATCTAAATTGAAATAGCGAATTAGCATAACCTGTAATGTCCTGGTGTCCCACATCGGGAATGGAGAGGGAGTTTCTGAGCTATAAAAGTAAATATCTAGACTCTTATATAGCATCGAGACCTTTTCCTAGATGGTGAAATCTCTAGCAGAACTCCGCAATTAAACGTGCTTAGGCCAGAGTAATTCTAGGATGGGTGACTCATTGGGAAGAATAAATTCGTGCAAGCATGGCCCAAAACGGACAATATCGATGACATGTGAAGGGTTAGGGCGTTACAAATAGTATTCAGAGCCGACTCTTCAGAGTACTGAGTGTGGGCCCCTAGCGTCTCTCGGTGCATGTGAGCGGGCTTGTGAGCTGGCAAGCTACTGCACGGGGACGTGCAACCTTAAAGGGGGTGGATTGTAATATCCCGGTGTCCCATACCGGGAATGGAGAGGGAGTTCCTAGGCTATAAAAATAAAAACCTAGACTCTTATATAGCATCGAGGCCTTTTCCTAGGTGATGAAATCCCTAGCAGAACTCCGCAGTTAAGCGTGCTTAGGCTGGAGTAATTCTGGGATGAGTAACCCACCGTGAAGAACAAATCCGTACGAGTGTGACCCAAAGCGGACAATATCAGTGACATGTGAAGGGTTAGAGTGTTACATAACCAATTGAACCAACCTTCGGCGAAGAGAACCCTTTGATCGCCTTTGGAGGCGAGGTCGGAGTCGATGAAGCTCTGGTTCTCGAGACGGCCGGAGCCATAGACGTAGTCGATTCCTTGGGACTCGTAGAGCTTGCCGAGCAGACCTCCTATCCAGCGAGTACGGCCGTAGATCAGGAACTTCAAGGGCTTCTCCGATGAGCCGTTGGCTGGGAACCCCATACTCAAATCTAGAGAGAGAGATAGAGAGAGAGTG